ATATATATATATATATATATATATATATATATATAATTCAAAACAATACAAAAGATTTGAAATACGCAGCATGCAGAACTTTGTATCTCGTTGTAACAAATAAAGATTTTAAGTTTTTTAATTTCCACTGATTGTTAATTTCAAGAAACAGACAATAAAACTTGAATCGCCAGCACAATTAGTAACTTTCACATATATAAAAAGAAGCAACGACTTGAAAAGAAAGTAGAAAAGACATTAACAGATCTGAAAGTGAATAATAATACTACTATCATGAGCATTTTGAAAACATTTTTTTGAACAAAAGTCAATAATTTTTTCGAGTACTCATTAAATGTTTATGACTATATCATGGTCACTCAGCTCTACTCAATACGCTGATTAATACATTTTCAAGAAATAAATTGTAAATACACATTAATAGGCCTGTGACATGATAATTTAGACCATTATAAAAATTTGAAAATTATCTAAAGACAAAATTGCACACACTTAAATAGCTGGAAATAAATAATTAATGCAGAATGAAGCGTTTACAGTAAGAATTTATATCCGCAATTAGTGAGTAATTTGATACTAAAAGACATTATCTCCAACCAATTAAAGCATATGAATGGTCTAATATATTGAAAAATAATAATATTTCAGGAAGAAATGAGAACTAAATCAATCACTTCCTTCAGTTTGTCAGCACTACATTCACTATCAAACGCGAGTCGCCGCAATTCCATCATATGATTCTTTGGAGTTTTTCTTTCATTGAGACGCTGTGAAGCAAAAAATGCCGTTCGAATAACCTAAATTCTTTGTCTTTTTCCCTAATCGGACAAAAAAATAACAATAGAGTTAGAGAAACATAAATACATGTAATATTCGATACCTCTTTTTTGAGTCCCGATAATTTCGCAACAAAAAACCCATAAGATTTAGGGCAAGTCCCATCAGCCAAGGTGTACAAAAAAGTAACGTCCTCGATAGTAGGATCTTCGGCATTTTCATTTTCGACAATGCAAGCCTATAAATACATTAAAAACTAGATCCTGAAGCATTATACAAGCGTAAGTAAAATGATGAACAATTGTGAGTACTAATAATATCAAAGCAGATGTAATACTTGCTCTTCAAACTTATTGTTATCTTTATAATCACGGCCGAAATAGCGAAAATTTTTCTTTACTGGCTAGAGCTACTTTTTAATAGAATTACAAGTAAGCAAAATGCCTGTAGATTGTAGAAATAAAAAATTACAATACAAATCTTGTTCAATATGGTATGTGCGGAAAATTTACCATATGCATTGCTTTGATATTGCTGACATTTTTGACAGCTAAGCATAAGCTGTGATAATGAGTGGAAAAGAAAGCACGACATAATAATCTAGTTGAGACATCCAAAAGAACTGCATATGCTATAGCAGTGCCATCGTAAGTACTAAAACAATAGTTAAGTACTAAATAATACACTACTAAATGATATACTTGCATTTATTTTGAAACTTTGCACAAAACCACATTAAAAAATATAATTTAATTCCTGCATTAAAAAACTCATTATGGCACAAATAATGCCAAAAATTACAAATATTATAAAAACTGTCGCATGTGACTTAGAGAAAGAGTCAATGTCTAAAGATAAATAAATGCTAATATTTTCACTGTTGTTAAATGAAAATGATATGGTGAATTGACAGAAGAAGCTTCCACATTGTCGTTAAAAACTAAGATAAATAGATGCAATACCTTGTTCCTCGACCAAGTTCATCCATTATCACCAGAGAATGCTTCGTCGCATTCCGTAAAATGGAATTGGTTTCATACAGCTCAACATAGAAAGTAGACTGTCCTCAATTTCATCAAATGGTAATTTTTGAAAACATATGTCGACATAAAAACTATTTCAAAATGAAACAAAGAAGACAATTTTAACGCTAACCTGCAGTAATTCGATCACCCGCACCCATTCTAGTGAAAATTCGATCTACTGGTGTTAGTTTCATCTCGTCTGCGGGCACAAAACTACCCTGAAGATTGGAAAAATGTAAATTTTGAAAATTATTACAAGAAAATTCAACTGCTTTCAATTCACAAAATTTAAGGTTCAATTTTGAAACAAACATCTCAGACGACTCTGCTTTCAAAATAAAAAAACTGGATCAGACACAGCTTTTAAACGAAACTCAAATTTTTAACTGAAAATTACAATAAAAATATTAAAATTAGCGATGACCGCTTGAAAAATCAAACAAAATGAGCAAATAAATTACACTGATATATAAGTAAATTAGTAAAGTTTATGAAAAAATCCAAATCATCTTACACGATCTATAACACAATCTAAATTCAGTTTTTTCAAAATGATTAGATAATTTTTTTTAAATGAACGCAAACTGACTTTAATTACTGATTATTTTGTAATGCAACAGCATAATAAATTACTCACGATTTGAGCAAGTACGACAAGTACACCGACTTGTCGCATTAAAGTTGATTTTCCACCCATGTTCGGTCCTGTCAATAATATGGTCGAAGGTGTATCTCCTCCTAATGATACAGTGTTTGGAATATAAGTAAAGCCATTTCCTGATGCAGATAATGCAGCAAGAGATGGATGGTAACCAGATTTGATTTTTAAGACACACTGAAATATGAAGACTTACTGACTAACATAACTGCGACATCACTTTGACACTGCCAGTACAACCTCTGCTAAATAGTATCGTCGGCATCTTTATCACAGAATGTTGTAGAAGTTTGACAGAGCATGAAATTTACTCAATATCTGATACCTTATCACTGTTCTGAATAAACTGAGGACGGCACATCTTCAAACCACAATCGTGATGGTAACGAGATAGAGAAAGAAGAACGTCAAATATAGCCAAACGCTCAATAACTGATAACCATTTACAAGACCTAGAAGAGCGAGAAATAGTTAGTAATTTTAGAAATTAAAGAAACTAAATAAATGATTTAAGTAGAGAAGATTATTTAAAATAACAAAAGCGACAGAATTAAGAAATGAAATACATAAAACTCTAAAACACAATAATGAAAATAGAAGGAGATAATGCTCGATTCTTTTAAAAGATTTTATTTTGAGAATATTCATATATTAAGTTATATAGATTATAAGTAGACCCCTGAAAAATTTTTCCATCGAAAGTTTGCACTTACAAAAGTCTGCCTTACCTTTTTTACTCTGCAAAATATCTAGATAAAACAAATCAAGAACGCAAAATACTCTTGATGTATTGAATAAAAGTGTGCTACTGAAAACCAATTTTGACATGCAGATGACAAAATTTCTTAAATTACACTAAAAAATCTAGAGATATTACAAATCTAAAAATTCCTTTACCTATCTCCAAAATCAGCAAATAAACGGCGCATTACATCACGTCGTAAAATATCGCGCTGATTTTCAGCCCCATCCAAATTTTGCACCAATTTCACTAACTCTTCGGTAGTCATTCTTTTGTATCCCTTTTTAATTAACATAAAGTAAGAAATTGAAAATCGAGCAAAGCGAAATGAAAAATATAATTTAATTTAACTTTTCGAGAAGATCTGAGTTCGAAGTCATCTCCAAGATTTGCAGCAATTGCTTCTGGTATTTCTAACTGATAGCGTGAACGCCCGCTTCCGAAAAAGTTGATGCTCTAAGCAATTATTTTCAATTACTACTCACAACTGCCAAAATATGATGAGTACTGATTCAATGACGAAAAACCAATTTACCGAACAATATAACTGCTTTCGAATAACATTCAAATACGTGTTCAACTCATGAATACAACTGTTTACATTAAGCACTGCATCGTCATATTCCTGAATCACACCCTTCTCTGGTACAATAATTCCTTCTTCTAAGGCCTTCTCATGACTAAACGCATTCTGAAAGTATTAAATATTCTTATTGGAAAATATACAAGCAATTAACTTGAAAAATTTTTCCAAAAGTCCATTGAAATCATTTAATGAACATTTAGAACAATTTGATTGAAAGTAAATGAGGCATCGGAGATTGAATAAAAGATCGTTTACGTAGACACCAATTTCGACTACAAAAATTTTACTTTTTAGGTAATATTTCATTGTTTTTTTGATAAAAACAAAAATAGTTTAGATGTTTAGAGATCAAAGCAATGGAAAGAAAGTAAACAGACTAACTTACACTGTTTTCTGGCTTAGACTAAAATTTTTTACAAATTCCTCATGAAGGTCTTGAATGCGCTCAAAACCCTCTAAAACTTGAACTAGATCACGTATTTTTCTTTTGTTATACTAGAAAACGAAATGCCAAAATGTTATATAAAAGTAAAGATGATTTCGAGAACCCCTCACTGATTTTCCTAAATTTAAGCAGTCACAAACTAACTTTAAAATGTTCAATATCAAGAGATACGTCAGGAAATTCCTTCCCAAGACATCGCTCCAAAAGAAAAGGGCTGAAATCAACTTTTATTCGGTGAACTCTGTCCATTATTAAGTATCACAAAGAAAATTACAAACCACAAAAAATTATTAAAAAAGTTAAAACTCCAGGCTGAAAAATAAATTTTCGGAATCATTAAATTTAAATTCTAAGTCGAAATTATGATTACAAAAATTTTTTCGTTTTAGATAATTTGTCAATCTTTTTTTCTGCTAAAAACAAACATAATTTAGACGTTTAGAGATCAAGGCAATTAAAAGAAAGTAATCAGACTAACTTACACTGTTTTTCGGTTTTGACTGAAATTTGTCACAAATTCCTCATGAAGGTCTTGAATGCGCTCAAAACCCTCTAAAGCTTGCACTAGATTACGTATTTTTCTTTTGTTATAACGCATAGTTTCAAACAGTTGCGCACGGCTATCGGGGTGCTCATCTGCACGATATTTCAATCCCAATGTATGTATTCTGAATAAATTTTGTAATATTTAATTTTTAAAAGTTGAAAATAGAAGTAAAAAGCTCACTTCTGAACTAAACGCTCGAGATCAGGTACTTTACGCAAGTGTTCTTCGGCTACACCGATAAATTTTTTTAGTTCCAGTTTGGACAGCCATTCGATAGCATCTTGCCGTGATTCTATGATTTCACAATCACAAACAGGAGCACAAACCCATTGCCTAAGAAGCCGCTTACCTGAAACACAAATATAAGCAAGCGATCAGTGATACAAAAAATTATCTTTTGAAAACTTATTGACATGATTACACTCTGAATGACAGATTCCAGACAATATTATTTATGAATAGTTGACTGCCTAAAAAATATGAGTACCTGCCGAAGTGATACACTTGTTAATCACATTATAAAGTGTATATTTCGCGGTGACTGGGTCCCACTGCTTAGCTTTTTTATTTCCATCAAGTGGTATTATATTAAGGTGTTTTAGTGCAAGACTGTCTAAGACTAAACGACGACCACGCCAAAATCGCTTACTACCTTCAGAATGATCCTTAAAATTGTTAGAGTTTTAATGCAATTTAAAATAATTGAAATTTATTGGAATAAAAAGATGAATGAAAAAATAATCAAAAAAATAAAACATATGCTTTAGTCTAGTTCAGTCTAAGAAGCGAACAAGAGAAAATTTTGCCTTCTCATGTAACAAAGGTCCTGTAAGGCTCACTGGTTTGTACACCTCAAACTGTCGCATGGAAATCATATCAACATCAATTAAGCATCTTTTCAAATACCTAAATTTTGATACAAATATTAAAAAAGCTGCTGAAAATGAACTGTTGGTAAATGAATTCATAACTTGATAAGATAGAAATTGAACACTAAATTAGTCAAGGTTTTGAAAATTATGAATTACAATACATAAACAAACCAAACAACAGCTCCTAAAGCTGAAATACATGCATCATAAGAAGGATTACACTTTGGAATGAGGCTATCTTTATCGATCATGTCCAATAAAGCCACAGGCCATTTATCATACGATGCACCAAAGTATTTATCGTTAGCTAGCTAAAAAAATAGGATAATTAGATCAGTACTATACGCAACCAGAGCATATATATATAATCTCACAATTATTTCTTAGCACATGATAACATTGCACATAAGTAAAATATCAAAATAAATAATTGCAATAAGCAATATCTTGAACCTACTACAAAGCCCTACCAATTTCAAAGTGTGTTCAGAGCTAAGGAATTCTTTCTTTGGAACGAGCGCTTCTTTTGGCACTGCACTTACCGCGCTATTATATACAGTCATTGTCAATGATGAAACTCGGCCTCGCTCAAATAAAATCTGAAAAAAAAATTAAGCAAGATAAATAACTTCAATGCAGCAGAACAATATCCAATTTATAATAGGACCTGAGCAGGTTGATAATTCGCGAATAAAGTCCTCAAAGACGAACGACTATCACTATCAGAAAGACAACCAATCTAAAATTGTAGTTCGCATAAATTTAGGAAGACGGCTTATTCTTAAAGTGTCAAGAAATTCTAATAATAGAGTACAACATACATAAAACCGGCCAACAGTTGTATCAATAAAACAAACACCATATTCTGTCGTATCCGTTTCCTGAAAATAGAAAATCGTGCTCAAAAATGTAGACGTATAGAAGGAATATTCAAAACTAGACTCGTGTCAAAACGGAATTACTTTCTCAGCAATAGCATATAAATATCGGGCGGTCGCATCCATCGAATCCAAAGCATTTTGCTCATCATTACCATCAAGCACTCCACAAGTTCTAGTACCCGGAGTTGTTATATTACAAACTTCTCTGAAATAAATGGCTAGAAAAATGAAATCCTTCTAATATGATCTTTGTAATTTCAATTTTTCAAATATTTTAGTAATCCAGTTTTCTTATTATAGGCAAAGTATTGAGAAAACTAGACAAATTTTATGAAAAAATATTCAACTATCAAAATTCTAGAGATTACAAAAATAACAGGAAAACAAATTATGCGAAACACTAATACAGTTCAACATTTAATGTACATTAAAACTGTGTGAAAGACCTCAAACAGCAATTTCCTTGAAATACCCTTTCTAAACACAGAGATTTTTCTGAAAATCAATCCACAATTATACTTTAAACAACCTCCTAACAACTTTATCATTAATTTTCTCTGCTTTATTTCGATTTTCTAACTGTGTTGGTGTTTCGGTTTGTTCGACGCGAGCAACTTTATATCCCCGATTAACCAGCTGATCAGCAAAACGCCCATAGGCAATTTCAGGAAAACCACAATGCGCAAAACTACCCTAAAATATTTCAATATAAAAAAACATTCTAGAAATAGTTATAAAAAGAGTGCAGACTGACTGATAAACACCAATATAAAGCACTTAGAAGAGAAAACGACGGAATCAGTCAAGTTGAACTAACTCTCATATAATTGAGATTCAAATTTTCTACACCCACAACTGCATCCATATGATAGAGTTCGTAAAACTTCCCAACTTTGAAAAATAATATTGTGTCGAAAAATGCTGACTTAGCCGCCCACCATTGTCGATGACCTACAAATGTTTGGAAAAATATTAATACTGCAAATTATAACTACAAAAAATGCTCATTCCGATTTTATGCCAATGTATAATCAATACCCGGTGTTTGTTTCTTCATGAACGCTTCAGGTACATACAAAGTACGTGGACAATAGTCTGGATGACTACTCAAATGTCCAGCTGCATCACGAATGCGATCAGGTTGAAGAAACTCAAAGTCTAAATGAGGAAATCGTGCACATTCAAGATCTCCTTCAGATGTCGATAATGAAACGGGATTTTCAAGCGACTTATTTCCATCAATTTGACGACTCGATTCTGATGAAAATCCAGATGTATTCTGAAGAATTTAGATTGTGGAAATAAAAATTACAATGATATTACTGCTTTTCAAGTCAGCAGAATGATGTACTTTCGCACAATTTTGTTTTCACTGTTTTGAATGGCTATTTTAACCCAAGAATAAATATATTTTTCAAATTCAAAAAAAATCAAGAGTTGTCAAAGTTGTCATATCTTTAAAATAGATACGACAGCCCTTGATCTGACTCAAAAAGTTATCAAGAAACATAGTAACGTTATCACGAAAGCTCTATTACAGTTATGTGTCAACTAATGAACTAAACAAGCATATTGAAGAATCCAAAGCAAACATGTTCAGTAGCACTGAATAAACCGATAAACGATTCAGTTTTTTACTACTAACAGGCTTAGAAACATCAGGTCTTTTCAAAGATGTCTGCAAAGAATGAGGTTGAAAACGTGTAAATTTCTATAACTTGTTGGAGTGATATGTGCGCCCAATGGAAAATGACATAAGAGATGCAAAATAACGCTTAAAATCTTTAAGAATTTTAAATGCCTAAATTTTTAGACTTAAAACAAATTATTGATGCTAAAATTCCAAACTTCTTAGTAAGCTTTAGAGCTTTTGGTTCAACATGATCGGAATGATAGCAGCGACTTCCGTAAATATTAAACATCATTTTTATGAATGTAAGAATTTTCAGCATCAATAATTTGCTTGAAATGTAAAATGTTAAAGTAAATTGAGATCTCATAAAGATTCAAATTTTACCACTTGGGGCGGTAAACTGCTTCTTGCTTTTTTGCTTTTCGTTATTTTCTTATCGGTCTCGTCTATTTTTTCTATCTCGCCATTATCGTCTTCCGAATCAGAAGAAATCAAGACACGCCGACGCTTTAGAGCACTTAATTTTCTTACCGACGACAACTCCCCCGCTAATACTCCACTCAATGACTGCTCTATTAGTTTACCTTAATAAATGAATATACCTATTAAAAAAATTATGAATCTTCAAAAAATGCAACAAACCTAAGATATCATAAAAAATGTCAACATGACTGAATGACAAATTAGCAAGAATAATCGGTATTCGTCATGACGAACAATACAATTATTCTGTAGATTAATTGCTGACTTTTCTGAGACATAATAAAAGTGCAAAATTGTGAAGCGAGTTCTTGAGAGCAAGTTAAATGTCACAAATATTTTTCTTCAACCCTTGAGTCATGTTTATAGTAAAAACTGTAATAAGAACAAAGCCAAGCTTTCTTCGGATATTTTTAAACGAGACTGCTTCTCTTAGAGCTCAGACGATAATCTACTTATACAGGAAATTGCTCTCGAATTGAATCTGAGAATAAGTACTTGAAGTAGGATCATCTATCTGTACAAGATTTTCAACATCGACACCTGCTTCACTCAACGAAGCTTTAAGCGGAGTGCTGTTTTTCGGAGTATTCATCTGCAAGTAGGTGAATTATAGACGTCAATAATGTAGCTTATAATTAACTATTCCAGATATTATTATACAGATTACATAAACCATATCACGAAACAAGCATTTAACATTGAAATAATTTCTGATGATCTCCAACTGAAAAAAATTACACAGACTGCTTTAGAGATGAGACTAGTTCTGTCACCAAAGTGAGTATTCGCAAATGACAAAATTTTTTGTTTAATATTACTAATACTAATAGTATTATTACTACTACTCTGTACTGATCTTGGAAGCATTAATAAGTATCATGAATGAAAATCAATATCTCCTAACAACCATGTAATATAATTTCTATAAAAATAACAAAGACAAGTTTACACTGTCCTACTATTTCCAAATTAATTTCATACTTCCGACAACCTGATAAAATTTTCTTGAAAAACAAATTCAGTATGAAGTACTTTAGAGCTGGCCTAGCCTTTCAAAAATGATATTTGCTATAACATTTTCCCAAATAATAATTATGACATTCATGAAAAATTGAGATAATTTTATGCAAGTTTGTATAGTCCAAAATCGCTAAATACTTATCTCTCCTTTTATATCATCATAAAAGAAGCTAAGGTTTACTGACCATTTGATTTTCCACAAGTGCACTTTGTCGTGTACTTTTAGAGTTTGGATCCCGTATAAAAAATGAAAGTAACGATGACTGCTTTTTGGCTGCCATTTCCTGAAGAAATTAGAATAATTAAAATGTGGTAATTCGATTCAAGAAATTCTTAGCGACGTTTCGAGTTATATA